TGAGACAGTAGAGTAAATCCCACCTATGAGACAGCACAGTAAACCCCACCTATGAAACAGCACAGTAAACCCCACCTATGAGACAGCACAGTAAACCCCATCTATGAGACAGTAGAGTAAATCCCACCTATGAGACAGCACAGTAAACCCCAACTATGAGACAGCACAGTAAACCCCACCTATGAGACAGCACAGCAAACCCCACCTTTGAGACAGTAGAGTAAATCCCACCTATGAGACAGCACAGTAAACCCCACCTATGAGACGGCACAGTAAACCCCACCTATGAGACAGTAGAGTAAATTCCCCCCTATGAGACAGCACAGTAAACCCCACATATGAGACAGCACAGTAAACCCCACATATGAGACAGCACAGTAAACCCCACCTATGAGACAGCACAGTACACCCCACCTATGAGACAGTAGAGTAAATCCCCCCCTATGAGACAGCACAGTAAACCCCACCTATGAGACAGCACAGTAAACCCCACCTATGAGACAGTAGAGTAAATCCCCACCTATGAGACAGCACAGTAAACCCCACCTACGAGACAGCACAGTAAACCCCACCTATGAGACAACACAGTAAACCCCCCCTATGAGACAGCACAGTAAACCCCACCTACGAGACAGCACAGTAAACCCCACCTATGAGACAGAACAGTAAACCCCACATATGAGACAGCACAGTAAACCCCACCTATGAGACGGCACAGTAAACCCCACCTATGAGACAGCACAGGAAACCCCACATATGAGACAGCACAGTAAACCCCACCTATGAAACAGCACAGTAAACCCCACCTATGAGACAGCACAGTAAACCCCACAAACCAATTGAACCCATTGCGCAACCGCACAGCAAGTCTCGTTACCAACACTGTCGTTTCTTATAGACACAGCAACGTGATATAACGAGAATTAGCTGACGCCGTCAACCATATGGCGCTTGAATCTGGATATTGTCATCGAAAGTTATAATAAAGTGCTCGCTTCGTTATCGCACGGAGTTAGGGTCCACCTAGAATCCATTTTCGAGAGACAGCTAAAACGATCAGTTTTTGTACCGTAGATATGAAAGTAATGTTTTAAATTAATTTACTTTACGTTGTCGAGTCATTCAGAAATTAAGACCTATTTCTTTTAATGACGTGCGTTTAAGGAACGAGATTATATTTCCCCATTTTTTATACACCGAGGTAAAATGTTTGATCACTGATGATTCCCACGTGCTGACAACTCTTCGTATCCTTGCTGTCCGGGAAGATATAGAAAATGATGACAGTAAGTTTTGATCAACAGGATCTATTGACTTAAATCAATCATTATATTCATGATATTGATTCATATATATCATACCCGTAATTTGTTTAAGAGTTATCTCCCTTTGATGTTTCCGGTTTACCATGTTCTAGTTATCCGTTTAAAATCCTCGGAGGGGTACCCAACATTATGTATATTGTTTTCCAGACTGTGAAAGTCACTTCTAGAGTAACGTCCATAGCCTAGACCTGTTTCTCTATGGGTGTCGTTTGCCCCCATTAAGACACACAATCCCCCGGACATATACGTACTGGTAACGGGGCTTGAGCCCCAAATTGCTCCATGGGGACAAAATGAAATGGTATATCTATTTTTTTACAATCATTTTTATAATAGAACCAAATCTTTCTACGTGAAGGGCTAATGGTTCTTACGAACGGACCAATCTGCTAATTGATACGATGTTTCCAACGCATAAAAGGGTTCTGTATAATGAAATCCTAATTCTCGAAATCACCATTTGAATCCCAGTGGTGAAATCCGTTTTCAGGTAGTTCGCTGGTATAGAGAATAATCTGTATTTTCGGAGGTCGGATTCCCGAAATTCGAGAGTACTTATATCGGCTTTTACGCACTTAGTTTAAAACATTCTTCACGTACTTTGCGTCCTAAGAATGCATTTGAAAATTGTCGTCAGCAAAAGCAACCGTCTATAGTAATTCTAATATCTGTACTAATTTTTCTATGCTATCCCCCTATAACCGCCACGATGCTCTCAGCAGTAGGTAATATGGGACTAGTACATCACTTAATCAACCAGAAACGGTAGTTAATAACGTGTAAACATACTGACAAATCAACCACAAACGGTTAGTAATCTGGGGTTAATAAGCCACAAACCAACCGAGAAAATGACTGCTTTACCCTGTATAATATACAGACCAAGGTATATCCCGAATTCAAAGAGTGAATTTTTTGTGGATGGCCGTCTCGTAAGAATGCAAACTTATTTAATATATTTATACAGATATGTGACGGTGATACAGAAAAACAGCAAGACATTGACACGGTTCGGCTATTTCGTGTCAAAACATATTTAAAAACATTATTCTGAGTTATGAATTAGATAAATATATTCCAACTAATCCCATATAATTCTTTTCATGGTTTATATTCAATATGATAAATTTATAATGTTAAACGTCCCACGGGAATTCAAAGGGCTGGCCTAGATTTATATAGACACAACACAAAAGTCTGCGGTTTCAAATTCGGGATAATTTAGGTAATCCATGCAAGCCACATTCCTGAATTCAAGAAGAATACCCCTCCCCTCTTATAAAACATCGACGACCTTACGTGTATACCTGTATAGTGTTATGTATGTGCTGGGAAACCCAACAGACAATACGACGTTATACCGTAAACATTCGATACATTGCCCCTCGTTTAACTCATTCATCCCCAAGTATACGTCTAAACTCTTCCAGTTGAACGGTTTGAATAGCTCATTATGAAATTTCAGGGGTGGATGAGTTAATTTGACAACCTGCTTACCGTCAACACATTATTTATAAATGATCCTATACATGATGTATTTAAATTTATCGGGCTTCATAGGTTGATGTAATTTAACTTGATAAATTGAATATGGCGCCAAAAGTATACCCATCATGCACCGGGATATCAACACGTGCTAAATGATGGTCATCAAATGGCAGGTATTTGTAAGACGACGGACACCATCTTCATATACAAACAAACAAACAATCAATCATTTTATGCATCCGATGTTATATAGGGTAAAAATAAATTCTCTACATTTGTCAAAAACTCTCCAACAATTCCTGCAGCAATTCGTTAACTCAGGAAATATAATGAAGCCTTGACAAAATGAAAATTAAACATTTCATTTCAGTTAATATGATTTTGCATGATGTCTAAGTAATAGGCCTAGTGTCCTAGGGGCTAAAATGTTATATGGTGGGGGTTTCCAGGTTCGAAACGATTTCATAAATTTTTGTGCTGAAACTGCTTCTTTTGTAACGTATTATATACGTGACTTGGTTGTTGAATTCGTTAATTGGTGATATTTCTTTTACCAAAGAAAGAAATTTGAATCAAGATTAAGTAAATGTGGCCAATCCTCTAACCCAATTACATAATGAGGGTATACAAGTACAAGCCCTGTCATTGGTGATATGTATTGTACAAATCTCTGTGGTTCTTAACATACCCGACACTACATGTATTCACACAAGTGTCAATGGTTCTTATCATGTCCGACACTTCATGTATTCACACACGTGTCAATGGTTCTTATCATGTCCGACACTTCATGTATACACACACGTGTCAATGGTTCTTATCATGTCCGACACTACATGTATACACACACACGTGTCAATGGTTCTTATCATGTCCGACACTTCATGTATACACACACGTGTCAATGGTTCTTATCATGCCCGACACTACATGTATACACACACACGTGTCAATGGTTCTTATCATGCCCGACACTACATGTATTCACACACGTGTCAATGGTTCTTAGCATGCCCGACACTATATGTATACACACGCGTGTCAATGGTTCTTAGCATGCCCGACACTACATGTATACACACACGTGTCAATGGTTCTTAGCATGTGACATTGTAAATGCACAAAAGTTTGTTCCCGAGGACGATGCGTCTTATTTTATAATATCGTATCATCTTCCGTAGTTATATATGTACATGCCTCCATTGTTGTAGGTAAATAAATTATGCACTGCACATTCTACTGGTATCAAGTGTATACCTGGAGCGCAGAACGCGACATTCCTCACATACCGTCACAGGTAGCAGATGTCTTTATACATAATGCAAGCTTTTTGCATTATCAACACACCTGGTAAGGTATAATTTAACACCCTACGTAAGCGTCCCCGAGTTCCTTGCATTCAAATCTTGTATTGATCAAAGTAACCCCGTTCGATAAAAGGTCACGACAAAATTAGATTTGTTATACGAATTACGAATACTAAATAAATATCTTTCATTTAGTTATCCCATACATTTTACTCTGTTTAAAAACAGGACATGTTTATCACAATAGATAAATAAACAAATATGTAAACGACATTTATTTACTTACCAGTAGTAGGCATAGACACGAATGAACCCCGAACGTCATTGAGGATAAAACCGGTTATTTCCCTAGAAATCTGACGTGTTCCGAATCCATTACGACAGGTCTTCTATTACAACGGACACTTTCCATAGAGCGTTCTGGATCCTAGTTTGGATTTCAGAGTCCTTAGTTTCCGGGTTTTGTTGTTGTTATTATAGCTGTACCTATCCCAGTAATCGTCCTCAGCTGGAGGTTCACAACGTTGGGAACTATTTGTCTTTACTACAAATAGTCCGCATGACTTTCCTTTTTAAATGCAGACATGAAACTTCTACAAACGTGAGAAAGTCCCGGTATTCCTCTAAGGTTCAGAATCTCCCGTTGTTTATAAGATAATGATTATATAAATTGCATTCCCGTCTCTAAGAATGGAATTCGGGGAATGCAATTAGCTATGTCCAAGTATTCTTGTCCTGCCTACATATATACCCTTATCATATCAGTTTCCAAATGGTTTTAAACGCGTCCGTCTATCCCAAATTATTGAAAAATGCGGACGAACAGACACTTTCGTTGTTTCCATTCATATAGGTCTGTCTTCCGTCTGTTCCATGCCGTTGTGTCCCTTCCAGGGACGTATGGACAGACAGCGCCAGTGATTCCGTGCTGGACTTTGTGTAAGGCCTAAGCAGACCCAGCTGTGTTGATAGTGTATGAAAGTTACAGATTCCCCTTTGCCCAATTCATTCACATGACTTACGGCGTCAATGTTACGCTCAATGTTTTGTGTTTTAGTACGACAATAAAAACAGACAAAATAAAGCGAACAGACTTAACAGTAGCTACGCCGCCTGGAAGATAGAGACAACAACGCGTGAAGTTAAACAAATACGCCGTTAATACCTCATAAAACTTCACTGTTCAAACTAAATAAATCCCAGTCATACAAATCTCACAAAGTTGCCTTTGAAATTCACTCGAGCAGACGACAGAGGTATATAAACAGCTTCCGCTCGGAGTTTGGCGGGACCTATTCACGAAGCGTATAAGTACACGCTTGCTGGTCCACTGGCGGCCTAGAGCTTTCCACGGCTCAGGCAGTTTTTCATTATATACATACATCTTTTCTTTCAGTATATATAATTGGAACCATGGTAGCTAGTTTAAGATTATACAATACACACTTATAAAGAACGTTGTTCCCATTCTGTGCACGTGTATTTCTCGTTAGTTGTAAAATTGCATACAATAAAAAAAGAAGAATCGTGTATTTTTGTAAACATTTGCTTTCACTTGATGGAATAAGTATTATTACCGACATGCCGGAATATGACGTAAGAATATCATTTTTCCCTAATAAACTTTCGGATAGAAATATCAGTGATGGTAAAAATTATTGGGAGAAAGTTTACGGCTTGTGCCGGGGTTTCGGAATGGGATTAATACATAGGAACCATTTGTAATCATGGGACCATCTGTGTTGTGTCAGCGCAGGTTATATTGTGAACAGGTATACACTGGTGTTGAATACAAGATCCGAGTGGCCTGCCTCAGCGTGTAGACTTTAGTTATAGTGAGGACTCATCTCCAATTATCAGGACGATATGGTGATATCATTGATTCATGACCGGACATTGTACCGGAGGCTGACAAAATTACACATTTTTGGATTCAACAGACTACCGAACTCATGTACTGTATAACAGACTACCGAACTCCTGTACTGTATAACAGACTACCGAACTCCTGTACTGTATAACAGACTACCGAACTCCTGTACTGTATGACAGACTACCGAACTCCTGTACTGTATAACAGACTACCGAATTCCTTTACTATACAACAGAATACCGAACTCATGTACTGTATAACAGACTACCGAACACCTGTACTGTATAACAGACTACCGAACTCCTGTACTGTATAACACACTACCGAACACCTGTACTGTATAACACACTACCGAACTCCTGTACAGTATAACAGACTACCAAACACCTGTACTGTATAACAGACTGCCGAACTCCTGTACTGTATAACAGACTACCGAACACCTGTACTGTATAACAGACTACCGAACTCCTGTACTGTATAACACACTACCGAACTCCTGTACAGTATAACAGACTACCAAACACCTGTACTGTATAACAGACTACCGAACTCCTGTACTGTATAACAGACTACCGAACTCCTGTACTGTATAACAGACTACCGAACTCCTGTACTGTATAACAGACTACCGAACTCCTGTACTGTATAACAGACTACCGAACTCCTGTACTGTATAACAGACTACCGAACTCCTGTACTGTATAACAGACTACCGAACTCCTGTACTGTATAACAGACTACCGAACTCCTGTACTGTATAACACACTACCGAACACCTGTACTGTATAATAGACTACCGAACTCTTATACTGTATAACAGACTACCGAACTCTTATACTGTATAACAGACTACCGAACTCTTATACTGTATAACAGACTACCGAACTCTTGTACTGTATAACACACTACCGAACACCTGTACTGTATAACACACTACCGAACTCCTGTACTGTATAACACACTACCGAACTCCTGTACAGTATAACAGACTACCGAACACCTGTACTGTATAACAGACTACCGAACTCCTGTACATTATAACAGACTATCGAACTCCTGTACTGTATAACAGACTACCGAACTCCTGTACTGTATGACAGACTACCGAACTCCTGTACTGTATAACAGACTACCGAATTCCTTTACTATACAACAGAATACCGAACTCATGTACTGTATAACAGACTACCGAACACCTGTACTGTATAACAAACTATCGAACTCCTGTACAGTATAACAGACTACCGAACCCCTGTACTGTATAACAGACTACCGAACTCCTGTACAGTATAACAGACTACCGAACTCATGTACTGTATAACAGACTACCGAACACCTGTACTGTATAACAGACTATCGAACTCCTGTACAGTATAACAGACTACCGAACTCCTGTACTGTATAACGGACTACCGAACTCATGTACAGTATAACAGACTACCGAACACCTGTACTGTATAACAGACTACCGAACACCTGTACTGTATAACACACTACCTGACTCCTGTACTGTATATAACAGACTACCGAACTCCTGTACTGTAATAGCAGAGTACTGTGATAAAAAAGAGTTATGATTTTAATATTCGTGGGATGAAGATAAGAATATATTCATTGTTAACACTAGGGTAATATACCGCCCAATCAAGTGGACATTTGATCTCAAGTTCTGTTGCTGCAGAAATGTGCACTCTCGAAACTGTGTATGCATATCCAGCCGTAAATAGATAACGAGTGGTTTGTTTGTGGTTTAACGTCAGTGTCGTATGAGGATGGGTGCCTAGGGAAACAACGCCTAGAAGAAAGCGTAATTGAGAAAAGAAGATACATATCTTATGTGTTTCGACCGGGGCAGCATATTAACTTTGACTCAAGGTATAACCTACCTATTTGCACAAAAAGTGTGATGTTTGAGAAGGTAAGAGTTCCCTCTAGAGACTCAAGATTTTCCTAACATTTCCGGAGAAGAATTTCCTTCTGATGGAGCACCAGCTAACATTTAATGGGATAATTACACTATGTTTTCAATTTCAATTTTTCCAGAGAACTGTATATTTTCAATCCGGTTAAATCCAGGACATTTGTTTTCACCTAATATGATAACGTGGCGTGTTAAAATTGTGAATTTCATTATTTTCATAAAAAAACCCACAAGAATTGCGGAAACGTTTTATTACGAAGGGACCTTACTTTACCTTATGTGTTTAACACATAATCCCCACAACCACACCTCGTTGTCACTGACTTAAGCATACGACGATAATGGTTTTTTTTCTGTAACTGAAATGAAAATTAAATATCACAGAATTCAATAAACTTTCAAGCATTTTTTTCATAAACATTTTATATTGTTATGTAACAATAAGAATTGTTCGCCAACTATTCAATTTACACGTGTCCAGCTGGAGTTAACACCTCAAAACCTGACAAAAATAGAAAGCTTTTCCTTATATTTGCAGTGTTGCTCTGACGACATAGGCACTGACTTCAACATTAAAATATAAGGGAATGTATTTATTAAGTTAAAAATAACGGAAAATTTAGAACGTAAATAAAATGATTGAGTGGTATTTTTTCAAACTTTATTCCGGTATGAAATTGAAAAAATGCCTTTCAATCCTAATGAAATGTCATAACCTGGACATGCATGACATTCCACCCGGTCACTCCAGTTAGTCTTGGTCAGGGCATCCTCAACACCCAAAGGGTTACCCTCACTTATGTTCTGTGAAGCGAGCGAAAGTGGGCGTTACCCCGGGAGTATCGAGGGTGTGGTCAGGGAACAGAACTCTTAACCTTCCACGCTTCGGCGAACGCTCAACACTATCGCTAAAATCCAGTATTGCTATATAGGTCATTAGGAAACCAAAATAGTCACGTGAGACGAGAGAACGAAAGTATACCAAACGCTGTAATATGGTGGCTGCTTTCGTTTCCACAATTCTACTGGTGTTCTCCACATTAGTTGCCTCCTACAAATCATGTGTGAAACAGCAGGTGTTCTTTTCTCAATTCCAAGGGGGGGGGGGGGGGGGG